AATCTTAAATTATTTTACAAAATAGTTTAACCACGACTAAATGATCACTTAAACTTTATATCAGTTTAAGCTCACAATAGAAGCCAGGCCATCATCGTATAACGAAATAATCCATAAAGATAATTTTATCTTTAGAACCATGAATAAACCTGCTATTGACAATTCATATTGCGGGCCTTTGACCTACTCAAGAAGAAGTTTAAAAAGCTCTTGCTCATTTGTGGTAAAATAAAAAAAATTGTACAACCGACTTCAAGATAAATAAAATGAGAACATTGTCAATGTAGTCAAAGTCAATTAAATACGCATTATTAAGGGTAGTTCAAAAACTACTGGCAAATTTATATGAGACCCCACGGGAAGGAGAGCTTTCAAATAAAAAAGAACCATCAAAATCAGTTTACCTAGAAAAAAGTTCAGAGGCACACATAAAAAAAGCATACAATCGAATTGAATACCTCCTCCTTCTTGAAGTTGGTTAAAAGACTCGTCGGTAACCGAAAAGTGTTCAATTAAAGTTTTCCATATTCTTTACTATCATAGTAAACCTCGTTAGATTATTATAACACATTAAAAACTTGTAAATATCGAAGATTTTGATACCCCTAAAGCACATGAGCTTACTCCTTTCTAAAAGGCCGGCAACGCACTTGGAATTCCCCTGGTGTTGCGTTTGTTCATGGTCAGCGGTAGCCACCTACCATCAGGTGCGCCGCATGCTGGATTGTCCCTATTTTACAAAAAAAAAATATGTAAGTGCACTACATACTATCTTATTCATCATCATCGACATCATCATTTTATAGCTTATCGAAGTCCACTGCTAAATATTGGCTCCTCCCATAGACTGCCTCTTATGCGAAACTAATAATTACCTTAAAACCAATTAAAAACCCCAATACACTTTTCATAAACCAAATTAAACCTAGAACTTGCTAGATTTTTATATAGTTATTGCGACTTACTAAGTTTTCGAAATCACATACGGACATCGAAAAATGGTATCATATTGAACAAAATAGATGGCGCACGATATCCCAAATACCAATTCAAAACACGATGAGCGCACACCCTATGAATTGATAGAGAAGTGTCTTAGATTGGGGTACGCGTAGCATAACCCCACAGACCTAACTAGACTGGGTGGTCTGCGCATAACCCTTAATGGGTCACTAGCTGATCTTGAAAGGTTCGCGACAAGATGTATGCCATGGCGGCTTTCTCGCTAGCTCACGCATGCTTACGGGTTATGTCGGACTCGCACCGACTAAAACCCCATGGTGTTCCACCTTCGTCACATATTGGCAGTGCCACGGGAACGCTTTCGCACACATCTGCGGCCTCACCAGCGTTGGACGCTCCATGGCGGCCCCTCCTCGGGAAAGGACTACTCCTCTTCCATCTTCTTCTTAGGTAAGGCGCGCCCGAACACATGGCACGCCCACCTCCGCGGTCTCCAACTTTACATGCGCAACAGATGCCCCCGTGTCCGATGCACGAAGGCCATGGGCCAAGATAAACGAGCATGCTCACCTACAGCCTAACACTTTTCTACGATTTACAACTCACGTGCCCATTACATCATTTTATCTGTGGTTAGTACTCTACCAAATAATTATTTAAGTAATTTTATATTTTTCTACGCTCCTATAAAATTTAGTTTAAATTGAACTATAACTAAATTTTTATTTACACTTACTCAGGTACGACATGGCGCAACCGCGCTTCATGCTCTTCATTCAGTTCCTATATTAATACGAATTTATGTATTATAATAACGTAAGTATTTGTATTTCAATATCAAATACACAGCAATTGACGTCCGTGAGATGTATCATCGAGAAACTGCGGTACGCCACAACTGATAGCTTGTTCTCAGTTCTCACTGACCATTGACGTACGCATTCTCAACGTTGCTCCTAAATCCTAAAGATTTACGCCATTACTTATAATCGTTCATTAACATTTACTTCAATTCAGTATTTCTTTATCTCTATACCTATCCCTTTCTATTGTTATTTAGTAAAGAGTGAGCAACTTAAAACATTTCTTAAATTGAGATATTTTTATTACAAATGCTATTAATAAATACAACTTGATTATTCAGTTAGTTATATCATTGGAGACGCGGAGCAGTGCCGAAAGTATGAGACGTTTGGTATTGCGAACGCCAATTCTCCTGCCATGCGTGATTTTTTTTTATAGAAGAGGGGGCAAACGAGCATGCGGCTCACCTGATGTTAAGTGACTACCGCCGCCCATGATCAACCGCAACACCAGGAGAATTGCAGGTGCGTTGCCGGCCCTTTAGAAAGGAGTAAGCTCTTTTCTTGAAGGTCCCCAGGTCGTATCGGCAGGTCTTCTAATACTGTAAGGATTTGGCAAATCCTTACAGTATTAGAAGACGTCGACGTCAAGCAGTTAATCGGATCGGGCTGATAAAAAAAGAAACTAATAAAAGCAAAGTAACAGCATATTTACTACAATAGGAGAAGCCCATGTTCAGCAGTGGTCTATAACGGACTGAAGAAGAGAATAGGACAGAGTAGAGAACAGCATTTAGCTACTGTAGAGTATCTCATTTGCTTTTGCCAGTGTCAAGTAAACTATCTAATATGCATATAAAAACGTTAATATGTGTATAAAAACTTTAATATGTATATAAAAATCAAACTTTAATATGTATATAAAAATTATCCTTAATAATAATTTACAGCTTTGGAACATTTCGACGACGGCTTAAGCCAGCAGAGGGTTAGTGCCTACAATATCTATTCCAGGTTTTTGAGACGCCTGAGCGAACTAAATAACTTGAGGTCTATATAATCATCGAGGCACTTTGTATTGTGGCTTCCACCAATATTACATATGGGCAAACAACAAAAAAGCCGGTGGTAAATTCCCGCCAAAACTCCTTAAAAATGTTACGTTATTAATTATAAAAAGATTAAAAATCATTTGCGCCCTCCTTTCTGCCAAGGAGGGTCGCGTCCGTATATGGCTTAGAGATCTCTAGTTAGACCGTTAAGCCAGTACCTAAAAGGTGGGGTTTAGTGGGTAAAAGTCTCCACATAACCACGCAGCCGGCTGCGTGGTATGCTATGAGCATTCCCCACCTCCCTCCCCCGCTTTCCGGAGGGTTGCCCACATTTGCTTCGGGCGCAAAAAAAATTAAAAATCATTTTAACAGCATGTTAAAAACAACATTTTAGATCCCCTTGGTTACTATAATTTAAAATAAAAAGGTAAACTTATACGTAACAAAATTTCTGCTAAAAGAACATAATTGCTTTTCGGTATTTTGACTCGTTTTTTTTTTAAGTAGTGTTCCATACTTAAAAAACAAACATTAACTTATATATTTACATTTTAAATCAACGTTTATAAGGTGATTCGGCAACGGAACTTGAATCGTTAAAGAATTGAAATTATCTTATTATACAATTAGCAATGGAAATGACGGTAAAAATTATTCAATCCACGGAATACCTGATTAGTTGGAACGCAAGCCCAAACGAAATGTAAGAACCAATAGGCAGTATTAAACTGGTCGACCCATATCAATTAGAACTATAGACGTTTGTTAAATAATTTAACATATTGATTGTAATTTGAAATGGAAATGTTATAGATTTGAACCCCTTTCAAATCTGGGTGCCTATCTATTAATTGGAATTATTTAAAAAGTGAACTGAGAAACATTTAGACGTAAATGAGTATACTGGATGACCTTTTTTACCGTCTGGAAAAAATAGGGTGCAACATGTGAACGGAGTAGAAGCCTGTGGCACTGATAATTTACAAAAAATAAAAACAAAAATGTTGAATTAACGTTTGTACAAACATTTTTTGAACAATTAGGTACTATGCTCTTTGCCCTTGAGCCTGTCCCTGCGAAGTGACAAGATCAAAGATGCCTAAATTTATTGTTTTATTGCCGTTCGTAAAGTAGGTTGAACATGATTTGAATTTCGATAGATTTTAATCTATTTATTTATTTAATTCAAAATTTTTGTTTTTATTTTTTGTAAAATATCACCGCCATTGACTTCTTCTCCATTACACACTATTTTTTCCCAGACTTGTGAATTTTTGAAATCGCTGATTGATAATAGATTTCCCTCCCTCCCTATCCCTTATAAGATTCAAGTGCCTTTTCCTAGGCATCAGTCATTACGCCAAGAGCTGGGCCGTGAACCTAGTTGCCATCGAAGCGTAATGGTCCACCCTCTTGGCGACAAATTGATGGTAACGCCCGCTTATTCGAGAAATGAGAACATTGCTTGTGAATACATATCCAACTGCGTTCACTGAACAGAAACTGGCCGCTACAAGCCGTTCTCTAATCATCGGTTACGATCGGATTTACGTAGAATATCACGTAATTCGCTATTTAATCTTTGCTTTCTACTTCGCAGTATGTTTAGATTTAGTTTGCGAAACTTGCTTTTTAAATCTTAAATGATTTTTTTTACTATTAGAAGCCAGCACTTAACTGCAATCCCACCTGATGATAATTGGCGGTGTAGCCGATGAAGGTGAAGCGCACTGACTTAACAAAAGCCTATTCACTCTTCCCATGAAGACAATCATTTTGTAATCGGACAAATAATTCCACTCCTTTGCTGTATGTCTACTTAATACAGAGAATTCGACAAACACCAGCAATAAAGCGCCATTATAGCCTATCAAAAAGGCTGAACAAGGATTCAACTATAGACTGGCCCATAGGGAGGATATTTACCATAGTTGTAACTTTTTGCAGGCGGGGCTTACAGCCGCAGCAGGCGGGGCTTACAGCCGCGATTTTTTATTATGCTGCTGCCTGTATATCCCGTTTTATTTTCCTCCGTTACCTCTCCCACACCCACGAGATGATACAAGGTAGTGGATTTTCTTACGTCCAATCTTTTCTACAGCTCGTAGCACATCTCCATCTTTTCGACAGCCCGTAACACATCCTCATCTTTTCTACAGCCTTTAGCACATCTCCCTCTTTTCTACGGCCCGTACCACATCTTTATCTTTTCTACAGCCCGTAGCACATCTCCGTCTTTTTGCAGCCCGTAGCACATCTCCATCTTTTTACAGCCCGTACCACATCTCCATCTTTTTACAGCCCGTAGCACATCTCCATCTTTTTGCAGCCCGTAGCACATCTCCATCTTTGTTACAGCCCGTAGCACATCCCCATCTTTTCTACAGCCTTTAGCACATCTCCCTCTTTTGTACGGCCCGTAGCACATCTTCATCTTTTCTACAGCCCGTAGCACATCTCCATCTTTTCTACAGCCCGTAGCACATCTCCACCTTTTTACAGCCCCTGGCACATCTCCATCTTTTTTACAGCTCGTAGCACATCTCCATCTTTGTTACATCCCGTAGCACATCCCCATCTTTTCTACAGCCTTTAGCACATCTCCCTCTTTTGTACGGCCCGTAGCACATCTTCATCTTTTCTACAGCCCGTAGCACATCTCCATCTTTTTACAGCCCGTAGCACATCTCCATCTTTTTACAGCCCGTAGCACATCTCCATCTTTTTACAGCCCGTAGCACATCTCCATCTTTTTACAGCCCGTAGCACATCTCCATCTTTTTACAGCCCATAGGACATCTCCATCTTTTCTACAGCCCGTAGCACATCTCCATCTTTTCTACAGCCCGTAGCACATCTCCATCTTTTCTACAGCCCGTAGCATATCTTCATCTTTTCTACGAGGATTGACGACCTCATCACAATACGCCTCGCAACTTTGGCTCTGTTTCCTATCAGTGGTTTTAGTATTTAAGTCTGTCGTAGACAAGAGAGTTAAAGCGCCATTTGACGTCATAGAGCCATGCTGCAACTATATTATGATTATCAAATTAGGAAAGGATCACGCTTTCACCGAATACTGTGGTCAAGGTAATATAATATTTTATACCAGCGGCCGCCGGTAGCCCGTGGAATTCTATTTATTCCCGATCCTGTAGTAATTGCGAAAATCTTTCCTTATAGTTACAGCCTATATACGTCCCACTGCTGGGTTTAGGCCTCCCCTCATTTCTGAGAGGGTTTAGGGCAAGGAAGTGTCCGCCGCGCTGTTGACGAACTTCACATGTCTTCGAAATATTTTTTTTTATTCCTCAGACATGCAGGTTTCCTCACGATGTTTTCCTTCACCGCCGAGCACGTGGTAAATCAGCACTTAAAATTGCAATTAACAATTTCATTGGTGCCGGCGGGGATCGAACCCGGGTTACTCGCGTTCTGTTATATTTACAGCGAGCGTTAACCACTGAGCTACCACGGCACACTCTTTCCTTATATCTTGTCTAAATTATAAAGGAAACCTCTGTGCAAAATTTCTAGGTATCAACAATTATCTTTTAATATAAATAAATATATATTTACAAAGTGAACAGTCTGGACAGAAAAAAGCAGAACAACGTTTGCCGAAACAGTGTGTTTAATATAATACCTCAGTTGTTAATTGGGCAAATAATCATATTAGAATCTCGTTAGGACATGGAATCCGATGAAATTTATGTTTTATCTATGGAGTCAGCTTTCAACAGAATACCAGCCTAAATTGGCAGCCTAATGCTGCTGTGTTTCGTTTGGTGGATGTAGAGGAGCGGGGACCCGAGTTTTTACAAATAACGAAGCATTCCATGTTAGTTCTCAGAGGTGAACAACGCGTCTATATATTATGATTATTAATTAATGGTTAGGTATAGTTGTCTTTGGATCACAGCATTCATTTACCATCATGTGGACTGTGTGCTAGTTTATCACCTTATTCTTCTATCAAATAACAAAATACTTATTCCATCAAATAACAAAATACTTATTCTACCAAATAACAAAATACTTATTCCATCAAATAACAAAATACTTATTCTATCAAATAACAAAATACTTATTCTATCAAATAACAAAATACTTATTCCATCAAATAACAAAATACTTATTCTATCAAATAACAAAATACTTATTCTATCAAATAACAAAATACTTATTCTATCAAATAGCAAAATACTTATTCTATCAAATAACAAAATACTTATTCTATCAAATAGCAAAATACTTATTCTATCAAATAACAAAATACTTATTCTACCAAATAACAAAATACTTATTCCATCAAATAACAAAATACTTATTCTATCAAATAACAAAATACTTATTCTATCAAATAACAAAATACTTATTCCATCAAATAACAAAATACTTATTCTATCAAATAACAAAATACTTATTCTATCAAATAACAAAATACTTATTCTATCAAATAGCAAAATACTTATTCTATCAAATAACAAAATACTTATTCTATCAAATAACAAAATACTTATTCTATCAAATAGCAAAATACTTATTCTATCAAATAACAAAATACTTATTCTATCAAATAACAAAATACTTATTCCATAAAAATAACTTTGTAACATATTATCCATTATGGGTCTACTGGAAGACATTTCAGTAAATTCGCAATTAGATTTGAACAATTAGAACCCTTGTACAAACTTACTAGATGACTGTTTCTGTATCTCGTTGTGTGTACGTGAATAAATAAAACAAAATACGTCATCCATGTTGAAAACTCAATGTGTCTACATTAAAGTTTTCAACAAGATTAAACACAACAACAACTCTTATACGTGGTGGAGCCACGCTGCAGGTATGTTATGTTATGTCGGCTCGACTGGGGATGGACCACGCTCTCACAGAATACAAGCGTAAAATAGCAGCTTAATACTGGTATGAAAATATGGTGAGTGTCTGAAAATATGGTAAGTGTCTCTACACTCACCATATTTTCATAGCAGTATTAAGCGGATCTCTATCCGGAGACCCTTTTTTACTAGAAACGAGGCATTCCATCTTAGTACTCAAGGGTGACAACGTATCTGCGTTTTGATTCTTAATCGTGGATAAATGTAGATGTCTATGGGTCACAGCATCCACTTACCATCAGGTCGACTGTGCGCCTGTTTGTCACCCTTATTCTATAAAAAAAAACTTAAAATGCCACAAGTTTAGAAATTCGCTCCAATGTGTAAGTTATCTATAGCTCTTAGAATCAAATTAGCATTAAATAACCATTTAAAAATGTTGAATTTCTAAAAGGAACGGAAATAAGATTTCGATCAAATAAGAATTCGAGGGTAAGAAATTACGTTCTGACGCTTTGTTAGAAAAAAAGGATATTTGATAAAAATGCAAAGGGAAATGTTATATCTACCCGCAATGACTACGGATCGTCTTTCAATCAGAAGACTGCCTTCTTTCGAATAGTTACTGAAGAGAACCTTAGACCTTTTTAAATGATTTTAAAAGCATTCCATCTTAGCCTTGAATGCTGACAATCTGCATTTTATTTACTTGAATGCATTTTCATTCTTATTTGATGATATACAGATATATACATATATTATAGTTGTACCATGAATGGGTTGGCTCGACCGGGGCAGGACCACGCTCTCACAGAATACCAGCGTAAAATAGCAGCGTAATGCTGCTGTGTTTCATGTGTTGAGTGTAGAGGACTGGTGACCCTTTTTACTGAAATCGAGGCTTTCCATCTTAGTCCTCAGGGGTGACAAGGCATCTGGGTTTTGATCCTTAGTTGAAGATAAATGTGGATGTCTATGGGCCACAGGGACTGTGTGCTCGGTTGTGACCCAATACTTTAAAAAAAAATTCAAGTTTACTTTAAATATACCTATGTATCTTTAGTGTTGTTTTTTCGTCGAACCATGCTGCATCTATATTAAGGTTGCACCACGAATGGGTTGGTTAAACTGGGAGAAAGTTGAGGCTGCCCGTGTACTGCGTGTAGTTCCTTGCTGTTGCCTTACAACTGTGTCTGAAAATCGGACAGTGAAAGTGTTAACGCTGCTGTGCTTCGTGTAGTGAGTGTAGAGAACCGGAGATCTTTTTTACTAGTGACGAGGATTTATCTTAGTAACCCTGAAGATCGCATCCATATTTTGACTCTTAATCGAGAATAAGTGATAAGATAGAGATGTAAGTGTCTATGGGTCCACGATCCACTTACCATCAGGTGGACACTATGCTCGTTTAATAAAAACAGTATCCGCCATTGTGTCCACTTACCGACAGGTGGTCATGTGCTCGTGTGTTACAATCAATTGTAATAAAAATGACAATTTAAATGATAATTTTAGCTTTAGTATGTGTATGTATACCTACACGTAATAAGAAATAGTGTTTCACTAGTACGATTTCGTACCTATCACGGTATTCACTTTCACATAAGAAAAACACAAAATAAAAATGATATGTTCGTGAAACTAATTGATTCGTATTTGATGAATATTTGCTAGTTCTAAGTTTTTCATATACATAAACACTCACGCCTGTCACCCAGAGGGGTAGACAGAGACTACAGACTTCCATTTGGCACGATCCTGACATACCTCTCTCGCCTCCTTCACATCCATATACCTACGCATACATGCTCGTCGGTTAAAGGTACTCCTAATTTGATCCGTTTTCAATAAATCGTTAATTTGGTCGATAAATTTTCGCCTCGGACGTCCCTTTCCAACTCTGCCATTCACTTCTGCAACATAAATTTTCTTTATCACTCTTTCCTCATTCATTCTTTCCACATGACCAAACTAAGTTTTTCATAAACATAACATAAACACTCACGCCTGTCACCCAGAGGGGTAGGCAGAGACCACAGACTTTCATTTAGCACGATCCTGACATACCTTTCTCACCTCTTCCACATCCATATACCTACGCATACATGCTTCTATATAATTTGGCCCATTTTTAGTATATCGCCAATTTGGTCGACAAACTTCCACCTAGGACGTCCCTTTCCGACTCTTCCATTCACTTCTGCAACATATATTTGCTTTGTCAGTCTTTACGCATTCATTCTTTCTACATGACCAAACCACCGAAGCATTCCTTTCTTAATCCTGGTCACCGCATCATCTTGCAAACCACACTCTTCTAACTTCTAACTAGTTTTTCATTATCAAAAAAGAAACTACTAATTAAAACTACTTCAAATTTAATCAGATGTTTGTTTTGCTATTTATATAATTATCCCGTGGGTGTCGTAAGAGGCGACGAGGGAACAAATCAAAAGATGCTCAGTAGCGTCTTCCTATGACGACAAAAAAAATACTGCGGTTGCCAGTCCGCTTACCAAGTGCGGCAACTGCGGCAAATACGTCCCCATGTGAGGCAATCTAAGGACGAGGCCTCAAATTTATTTAT